AATATTTACTTAGAAAGAAAAAAATCAATATTTTCAAGAGAGAATTTCACCATCTCAATGCGAAACAATACTTATAAAAAAATACATCTCTTATTTTTGTCTATATTTTAACATATTTAAAACTTATAAAATTTTAACATATTTAAAACTTATAAAAATCGAAGAAAAATAGTTGGTTGTATTTTACTGTAAAAATATTAACTACATTAAAAAAAAAATTAATATAAGAAGACATTCATTGTCATACGAATAAAGCTGCAGGAATTTTTAAGCAGAGTCCTCTTTTTTTATATATTGTAAAGTTTAATGTACTTAAAAATTATGTACTTAAACCGTATCGTTTCCTTTATTGAATAAAATTTTTGCTTATTATATAATTATTAGGTGTGGGAAAAAGTTCGTAGCGTTTTTTTAATGCCATCTAATGGGAAAAAACATCACGAACTTTTTCCTAAACCTAATACATAAGTGAGGTTTGCGTATTACAATACATCTTGCGTTATTTTTAAATATGTAATTTGTAAGTATATAATACTACACTTTTTGCAAGAATCTAGGCTTAATATATTATTATATTAAACTCATCAACAACATAATATATTGTTATATTAAATCATTTAATTAAATTAATCACAGCAATATAAATTTAGGCATAAGTTAATTATAAATTTCGTTTGATTAGTTCAATTATATTGTAGGTGCAAAAAAACCTATGATTATGTTTCAATTTAAACATTTTTCGCCGTCCGACACTAACAACTTTAGTTAATTTTTTTATGCATTTATTTTAATAAATAGATGTAAACATAAAATATATGTGAATAAATTATATAAAATCTATTAAGCCTGCATTGTTCTTTATACCTCCTCTTATTTATTATTATTAATATACATCTTTCTAAATCTAAACTTTCTTTATGAAATCTTCCATAATTTTTGTGTGAATGTTAATTTTTTTTTAATTTTAATTCTAAATAGTTGTATCCTAAAAAAAAGATATGATAAATGTATTCAATTTTTTTCAATTATATTCATCAATATTCTTTCCGCCCAAAATAATTTATAAATTAATGAGATTTAAAAATGAGGTTTAGAAATAAAAAGGCAGCATATTGCATAAACAACAATAGAATATTATAAATTAATGAAGATAATTGTGAGAAACTTATCGTCTTTGATTGTGTGGGAATTTATTACTTGGTTATAAATTTTTATACCATTAATAATTATTTGATAATCTTTATATTTTAATTAATTATCAATTTTA